CATCATCATCATCAAACACATCATCATCAAACACCAAAACCACAGAAAAAAAATATATATTTTTTACCCCTGGGTTCGAGGGAACCTAGCGCTTGGGTTCTTTCGAACCCAGGCGCAGGTTCCCAGGCGTGGGTTCACTTAGGAACCCAACGCCTGGGTTCCGACGTGGGTTGGAACCTAGGCGTAACCCCCTGGGTTCCTTGGAACCCAACCCGGGCAAGTGTGCTGGGTTCGCAAGGAACCCAGCGCCTGGGTGGGTTAGAAGGAACCTAGGCCTGCTGGGTTCCGTGGGGAAAGAGAAGGGAAAGGGAAAGGGAAAAGAGAAGGAGAAAGAAAAAGAAAAAAGAAAAAAAATTAAATTTTATTTTTCATAATATTTTTTTATATTATTATTTTTTCCACATCATCACTTTTTGACTATATTATATTCCACGTGGATTATTAGATGACATGTCATCGTGTTCCCATTAGTTAACATACACGTCACTAGATTTTTAACGGAATGATCAAATCAGGGTAAAAATGGTAAACAGTAGGGATCAAATCAGAGTTTTTTTAGTTCAGAGATCAAATCGGGGGTCCGTACAATAGTTCAGGAACCAAAAAAGGGTTTTAACCTAAACAAAATGGAGGGGGAAGAATGATAATATTTTTATTTAATTAAATAATTAAAAATAAAATAAAATTTCTAAATTAATTAATAAAAAATAATTAAAATAAAATATTTTATATATTTAATTTTTTTTAAAAAATTTTAAAAATAAATATAAAAACTAAATTTCTCACACTCTTTTTCAATTTGAATATATGAGAAATAAAAAAGTAGAGAAGATTCAATCACTTTCCTATTTCTCTTTATTAATAAAAAAAATTTAATTAAATTTTTTTTTTATCTTATGTTTTTAGAATACATAATAAAAATATAATAAATGTATTATTTTATAATTAATATATATATAATGATAAAAATTAATTTAAATTTAATTAATTAATTAATTAAAACCATTAACCTGTCAATAATATTAAAATAAAAATAAATTTTTATTATTTTTTATATAAATTAATTATAAAAAATATATTTATCATAATTTAATATATATCTACCAACGATGAGTTAGATCAAGTGGTAAGCAGCTTATTTCAGTTTAAGTAAAATTTCGAGTTCGAGAACTTGTGTATGCAGCAGCTTTCGTTGGGAGACTCACATATCATTTTCAGATGCGCGACGTGGATCGATCCGGATTAATCGTAGCGAAATCTCAAATACCAGACGAAAAATCAAAAAAAAAAATTTAATATATATCTTTAAAAATATAAGTTAGATAAACACTAAAAAAATAAAAGATAACTTTCTTTCCCTTTCTTTTTTTTTCCTTTTTCTCTTTAGTTGCATTAATCCAAATACCGGGCAAAGATTTTAGTTGAAAAGATTTTTTCTTTTTTTTTTATTTCTTTGTTAAAAGATTCAAAACTAAACCATATTTGTGTTTGAATATTTTTTAATTAATTATTTCATTATAAAAATTATTTTTTAAAAAAAATAATATAACTAAATATAAATAATATATTTTAACTTTACATACAAATAATTTTTTAATCACTTTCTTTAAAAAATATATTTTAATAAAATTTCTTCACTAAACAGAAAAATAAAATAGAAATAAAGTGACAAATCATATCTCTAATAACTCACCACACCGACCCCTTGTAATTACTGCCGTTGTAGTTTTTCTCTGTTTTAGACAGACAAGTAATATCACACCGCCGTCAGTTCTTGTATTTTTGCCTAAATAGAGAAAAAGATTAATGGTACATTAATTACTGGGGGCAAGCCACCCTTGCCTGTCATTTCAATCCCATCCAATGCAGCTGTCCCCTTCCACCTCGCCTGCCACGGTTTGAGTATTGACCATTGAGACTTATGAGTTTAAGGCTCCACTTCCTATTCATCTGGCTGAAATTAATTTTAACTTTTTATTTTATAAAAGTTTTAATTTTTAATTTTATAATATGATATTTTTTATTTTTTATTTTATAAAATTAATAAATTTTAATTTTTTATCTTATAAAATTAATAAATTTTAACCCATCACCTTATATTATGATACTTTTAATTTTTTATTTATATGAATTGAACAAACTAATTCTCATTTAAAATCAAATTATAATGTTTTATTAATTAACTGTCAATTTTGATAGTTAACTGTTAATTTTATTAGCTGATTATTAGCAAACTGTTAATGAAAATAACAAATTAAATTAAATTTAAATTTTATATTTTTTATAACAAAATGCTAATTAATGTTAACAGTTAGTCAACAGAACCAATAGAATATTATAATCTAATATTAGGTGAGAGTTATTTTTTTCGATTTCGTATAGGTGAAGAATTAAAAATGTCATAATATAAGGTAAAGGTTAAAATCTACTAATTTTGTAAAGTAAAAAATTAAATATGTCATATTATAAGTTAAAAAATTAAAACTTACCACTTTTATAAAGTAAATGATTAAAATATTGATTTTTACACATTCATCTTCCCCCCATTTGTCTTCTTTTTTTTTTTTTAGAAAAATAAAAAATGAAAAGAAACTACAATTTTTCACATAATGTATTCCCTCTTGAATGCATTCAATCTCCAAATCATAAAGTGCATAATTTGAAAAATAAGAATTAATTTAACCACAAAACAAAACAATTAAAAGCTGAATTTCCTCGCCCTGCACACGCCTATAGGACATTTGGTTCAAGGGTAGTACTTTACATCGATTCCGTTTATGTAGCTCTATGTTCAAATTAGAAACTCAGCCAGATAAAACCTTCGTATCAGAAGAATGGCACAAAGTAAAAATATTTTAAAAAAAAAAATAAGAAAAGAAAACCAACAACAACAACAGCAACACTTTGTAACAGAGGATGCATATCAGTAGTATTTAAGGCATATTCAGCTCCTGCCTCCTGGATGAGGAAACAACATGTACAGACATCTTAAGCACTCAAAAGAAAGAAGTCACTTCTATTTCATCCCAATTGGTGCAACTACCTCTTTGACAACGCGGAAGATGCTAACATCTACCATGAAAATGCCGTCTTCATTTTGACCAGCAGGATTAAACACGCAAACATCAGATTCTTCCAAGTAGTTTCCGAGTTAAAATTTCTCCCAGCCAAATATCAGCTCCCAAGTCACACCATTTTGAAAATGTACCAATGATATTTGCCATTTTCTCCATCACCCGGATATCAGAAATTTGTCCTCAGAAGACAAATACTTCCCCATCCTTTCATGGGAGAATACCTACAAATGAATATATGCAGACCAAATTCATTGTGTTGAATGCCTCCACAACAGCATAACCAGTGATTTCAGTTTTAATTTGGAAAGGCAAATTATACTATTATCAAAATTATTAGATAACATTACCATGGTGAAGTGCTCATATACATGCTTGGATTGCATAACTACCAGCACAATGTCTGGATTTGCTGCTGCAGGTGCATGTCGCAAAGCAATGTCCTTTTCCTCTTGAGTCACCACTCACCAGCCTTCTGTTTGAGAGATACCTTATATAAGAAACCCTGTTCTTTTTTCCAGTCTTTTGTTCTTTCTCTGCATCATCTGCACATCAATAGAATCAGCCAATCAAATAGCGATTAACTCATAATTTTATTCAAACAGTGTCTAAAGAATAGGATTCATTGTGACTTCACTCATACTACCAAACAAATTAATCAATACAATGGCTGAATGCTATTGAGTACCGTCTTGAACTTGCCATTAATTTGAATGACTTCTATCATCTTTTTCGTTTTTTGGCCCTCGCTCTTATCTGCTGTATCCCCACATCTAAACATTTTTTGAACAAAATATGAAGATTCCTTCTCACAGAAGGTTGACCAATCAAACAAAAGTACATCAAAACGAGATTCACTCTTGTATTCAAAGAGCAATGTATCATTCATTCTCTTGTAAAGAATGATATCTTACAAAACTCTTGCCAACCATCCTTGAAGAATAATGTGTCATCTTCCATACTCAATCCTACATTCCACACAAAACTGCTAGGACCCCTAAGCGGTACACTTTCAGGCAGTGTCTTTTTCAATTTACAAGCAAACTTTCTAGGGATGGCTTTCAACTAAAATTTCAACTCTTGTCAGATTAGCAACATACAGAAAAATATATACTACATAATTTATCAGATCCACGGATCTACCACCTAAAGAATTAAAAGGAAAAAAACCAAAAACAAGGATCCTAACTAGTGATTGATTAGATGCTAAGACTTCTTCTGTTTTCTTAAATGAAAAAGTGTTGCGTAATCCGACTAGATGAGGGCAGACCCCACGTTGTCCTGCTATGCTATCCAATAATTCTTGTTTTGCCATACGGAATTTATGTAAAAGCAAAACATGGAACTCTTTCGTAAATGAATTATTAAAAAGGGGTTTTCTCTGTCCAGAGTACAGTAGCTACTCTGTTGCTGGACGGCAGAGTACAAAAGCAAAATAAGTTCTCTCTACAGGGTAAGGCACCAACTGGTTTTTAAGGTGACACCATCACAATTAAAGGAACATAATGGAAAAAATAAAACAGTTTATGTCTCATCACATTCTCCCTCCCTGTTCTACTACGTTTCTCTCATTATCCGAAAGAGAAGGTCAGACCTTTGTATGAACAAAGAATGTATAAGGTCCCAACATTAAAATTTTATTGGCAAAAGGAACCAATTAGGCTTTGATCCTCCTAGAAAGGTAGAATTTTTTGAGAGATGAGGCTCTACACTTCGAAGTCATACTTGTTCAAAGAGTGAATCAAAACCCAGTGATGGTACTGAAATGGGGCTTTAACCCAGGGATTGGCATATTGTAATAGCTTTACATCACTTACAAGCCGGTTTTGAAAATCTCCAGAGAGATGGGAAATGAAGACAATGCAGTGAAAATGCTTCCAATAGATGTCCTCCCGCCATTTTTTGTTTCCCTTTGCTCGATTCTTCCATTCCAGCAAACCCTAGTGTATCAAGAAAAGTGTAGATGTAGTAAACCTTCGAAATCTCCCTTATTATAGTCTTATTTTGGAATTAACCTGCAAAGCTCCGAGACAAAAAACCCTACATGTGGTTTCGGGGTAGACACTCAGATATTTAAATTAACAATAATTTGATTTACATTCCAGAGAAAACAAGAGAAAAGAAATTTTTTATTAGTTTTTTCATCTTACCTTTAGGAGTAGCCCATGAAAATATATGTATATCTTGACAAGATATTCACATAACTTACTTCACACAATAATTATGATATGATGTGTCTGACAAAATAAAAATTTTTGGTGAATATAACGTGTCTTAACCGAAACACCCATATTAAATATGTGTGATGTGTTCTAATGGAACAAGTCTCTTGGATACAGAGGATTAGGTGAGAACTAATAATTGGGTGAGTGCATTCTCATTATAATTGCCATACAATTGTGGCTGAGCGTTAGGTTCTGCTCTGTCCTTACAAAAGAAAGAGCTTTTAGTGAACCAAAATAATGGAGTGATACCCAGAAGAGGATAAATTCAGTTCTAACAAAAGCAAAAATCATTGAGTATGCACTTATGGGAATAAAAGATGCAGAGAAAATTGATAGGAAGTGTGGAATACATTTGAGTTAAGTAGAACTCAGGAATATGATGCGGGTTCTGCAATGGCATGGCCGCATGGTGACTATTGTCTCGGGGGTCAGTCCCTCACTTCTCTTCTTGCAAAGTAAAATGCAGAAGAAAGATGACATTTTTAATTTTATTTTATTATTAGTTTTTTAAACACTACATGACATTTTTATTTTTTCTTGTGCAATTTTTAATAAATGATCCTTTTTTTCACATTTTATAAGGAAAAAATGTTTTTCCTTTACTTTTTCTAATGTCAAATTCATTTGATAATTTTTTTAATATTTTCTATAAATAAACATCAATATTTTCTATAAATAAATACCAATTTTTACTAAGTAAAGTGCGGCCTAATAAATATTAAAATATCATTTAAAAAATATTATTAAATTTTTTTATATTATTTTGTAATAATATTTTAATAATTTCAATATTCAAACCGTATGATCCAATCCTAAAGAAACATAAAACTTTGAACATGAAGAATTTAACCATTTCAAGTTTCAACAAAAGCAACAATATTTTATTAAGGAAACGGTGAAATTAAGCAAAACAATTTTCATCTGTTCTTACCAGGTTTACTTTTTTTAAAAGTTCCATTTTTATGCATTTTATGTGTTTTTGAGCCATGGATTATTAGACCACTAAAGCTGTTCTTAGTAGTAATGTTACAACATACAACTTACAACTCACAAATGCAACTTTACATCTCTAATAGTTTTTTTTTTTTTTTTTTTTGGGGGGGGGGGGGGGGGAACTGAGTTTACACTTTACATACTGACAGTTGGACCAACATTCATACCCTGATGACAACGAGAATCATATGAGAGAATTCTCATTATTGTTTCTAGCTAATCTCTATTATATATCTGCGGTCCGACCCTTCTTTTCCATCGCTCCAAACAGTCTCCTGAATTTCCAACTCGTGAGTCAGTCTTACCACTGAACAGATCCTCATTTAGATTTGAGACTTTTTCTAGGTTCTTCCAGCAGCTTTCCCTGGTTTAACTATTTAATGTACATAAAATAGGATTGCCAAGAAGATTAAAAAACTACAAAGGATATACAAGCTGACAAGGGATTGGAAGGACCCTCAGTTCCGGGATAAGCAAAACACGTTGCAACACTGAATAAAATGTTGGCCGAAAATAAACCTAGCTGTTAGACGTTTATCAATGCCACCACAAACTACCTTCTTTCTCCAAAAATCTGCATAAGCATATTGCATATTACCCAATCATGCAGGTCTTTGTTTTTGTAGTCACATATGTAAGTCAATCCTGCAAAATACATTGTCAAGTTCACTCAGAAACTGAATTCTCCATAGATGATACTGCTGATAATTACATTTGTCTCTCAGGAATACTAAGGGAGAAAGTAATGGTAATGTATCAATTAACATAAGCTTAAAGTTTTCTAGTCTCAGATAAATCCTCTTTCGATTTAAGCTGATCAACAAACTGTTTCAAGCCTACAGGCAGCTAATACTCATCATTTTTCTTCTTAAGAAATGTCAAATTTGCAGAAGCTTGAAAGTAGCTTCTATAGAACCATGGTCTTAGCACTCTTTTAGTGAAAAATTGGTTCACACTTCACGTGACAAGAATGAAAAGAAAGGAGACCCCATAGAAAAGAACTAGAAGAATAAGGTCCAGATATTAAGGCTCACCACAGTCTGTGTGGAGTGGACTGGAGGTTGAACTCTGAATGTCTCAGACTCTGACGAAGGAGAACGTTGGTGGTCCAGGACTCTTGTTCCAACCCCAGATATATGCACGCGCATTTCATTCTTGCTCACAAGTTCAAATATGCAGACATCTCCCACCTTGATGTCATTATCACGAACAAAAGTCATCCATCCTCCACAAAATGTATGTGCCTTCTGTCCTTTTTCTGGAACTGAATTCACTGTCCAGCATTCACCTTGCAAATTGCGAAGGACAATCTCCGTTTTGCAGGCAGGAAGATGTGTCCTGGAGAACTTGCGTGGAATTTTCTGCATAGGAGCAACTTGTCAGTTAATGAAAACTGATGTTAATTGCTGATAACCTTCTAAAAGATATAACCCTTATTTGGTTATGGAAAATCTCAATGTAGGTGATCTTTACTCTTTACTAAGAAAAGTTGGTTGCCTTGAGGAAGAAGTTGCTTGTACATATATAGCAGAACTGGTTAGTTATTATGCAAAATTACTCCCTTAAACTAATTTGTTGTCTCTTTTTTTTGAAGAAGAAAAAAGGTTTTGATGGAAGGAAAAAACAAAGAAAGGAAAATAAGGGAGAACTAACATACTGTTTAAAATTTAAGGTGAAATTAGCAAGTCAAATTTCAAATGGAGACATGGATTGCTTACAAGAGTGTGGGAGCCGATGATGTTGAACTTCCTTATGATTTTTACAAAATTAGGAAAGATAGAAGTGAAAGATTGAGCCTCCTTTTCTTCATCAAGTGCTAACATCTTTCTCAAACTGCAAGTGCCTGCCTCTGCTTTACAGACTAAATCAAGTTACAATGAAGTTCTGAAATGGGTGTTGTAATGTAAATAAGTGCTATCCTTTGGCCAAAATAAATAAATAAATAAATATTGTTATGCAGATACTCCAATGTTGGAATTAAGAAAGTATAATTATGTTAGACGTGATAAGAATCTAAACAAGATACATAACAATACACCTCTAAGCATGAATAAAATTGCCCAAGATAGGTTGATGTAACACATGGTTTTTTCTCCACAAAATAGAGGAAATAAAATATGCATGGTCAAATGTAGTGATGGCCTTCAATAATATGAAGACTATTAACTTCAGACCATACACAGGGAAACTTGAAACCACATACCTGGCATACCATTGCCTGGTCTTGACAGAGCTCGGAGGGCAAGACAGACAGATGGCCTTTCATTGCCTGCACTACTATTTTTCGTTTTGTGTAGTGTCTTAATGCCTTTATGGCTTATCTGAAGCTTTTTCTTGGATTTTGAGCAGATGGTTGAAGAATTCTTTCCTAATTTCTTTTTCCAAATGTCATTTTCTGCAAATTTTTTTGGAGTGCCTTCAAGCTCGTCCTGTGAAGAGTTGTCTATAATTTCAAAAGCAGTCTCATTCATTTTTCTTTTTGTGTGACATTTTCTCACAAAATATGAACCTGCTTTCTCACACAAGCTCAGTCCATCAAACATTAGAACATCAAAGTTGGACACCCCATCATACTTAAAGATCAAGAAGTCATTCTCTTTCAAAGAATGATCTTTCACAAAAGTTTGCCACCCACGATCAAAGAACAAGGTGTCGACAATTGTTGTCAGTCCTACATCCCAAGTAAAACCACTGGGACTTTTAAGAGTCACAGTTTCCGGTAGCTTCTTCTTGAAATGTTTAGCAAATTTTTCTGGCAAGGCCTGCAATTTCATCTATCATTGAAAAGCAAGATGAAATCTAATATTGACAAAATTTAGTGATCTACCCTTACAAGGCGGAATTAAGAGTACCCTCATGAATAAAACAAAGCATCATGGTACTCTTAACATTTTGAAGCTGCTACATCTGGGAAACACCTAAAAAAAAGCATGATTTGTTTGTCCCATGCATTGTCAACAATGTTTCATCATAATACTCCAATCCCCTTACATCTTAAGCCAGAATGCAATCACCGAAAAATACCCAAATATATGGTAACAAGATCATGCTTTCATCCTCACAGGAGAAACAAACCCAAAATGCTTAATTGCTATAGAAGAAAACAGGATGCTATTCTTCCCAGTGCAAATTCAATTACAAATAATAATAATAATCATCATCTTTCTTGATAGAGAGAGATTTTCCTTCTTTAAAGCAAATATAGAACAAAAAATCAAGAACAGTCATAAGGAAAAAAAACTTACAAGCTTCTGATCAAAACCATGAAGGAGAAATTGAGTGAAATGAACAGACTGAAAATGGTTCCAAAATATTTCCTCTTCCCAGCTCTTACAACCCTCACCAGTTTCCCCCATTTGCATGGCCTTACAACTCAGAACCCAAATTCAGAAGGCTGCAGGAAATATTGGGTCGCAGAGACAAAATACAGAGAAAAAAAAAAAAAAAAGCAGTGCTGCAGAGCTCAATGTGTTCCAAAAAGAAACAGAAAATCCAACGAAAAAAATCAACATCATTGAACCTTCATCATCGACAAAAACAGAGAAGACCACTCACCTTGAAATTCAATGTCTCCTATATCAAAGGGAGGAGTCAACGACTCACGCGAGTGTACTCACACTTAGAACCCTCGAAGTTTGGTTAAAGGGTATAAGCGGAGCGCGTTGGTAGTTGGGACTTGGGACGAGGGACGGTTCCAAAATATCGACCTGTTGCTCGTCTTCACGTAATGGGCTGGGCCTGGGATTGGCCACATCAGTACCAATATTTTAGCCTAAGAATACCATATTTTTTGGGTTAAACCCCCATTTTGGTCCCCTAACCATTGTACAGATTTTTGATTTAGTCCTTTAACTCAAAAAATTTCTGATTTGATCCCTAT